CTGTTTCCTCAACGATTTTCCATCACTGACAACACCACCTCCTGGGCTGTAAGTTCTCAGGTGCCCACATTATATTCAACCTTGAGCCCTTCTCCTCCGCCCACTGTAAAATCCACTGCAGGGGTCCCTGTACCTATTGGGATGGTCCTGGATAAAGTCTGCCTCACCACCTATTTTTTAAAAAGGAATCTAAGTAGCACACGTTTTTAAAAATCCATAAGAACAATTCAGCTGACAGTTATTGATTTCCTTAAAAAATGAAAGAGAAGGAAAGACATTGATTTTGCCATTCTTCATCACAAATAATGATGGACCTGCTGAGCTACTTTTCCTCAGTCTAGAAAGATGCATTTTTTTTTTCATTCTGTTACAGTTAATTACAGGTAGAGAAAAAAATCTCAGGTTGACATGTGTAAGAAGGAGAACTTAAACACTGAAGGATAAGGACACACTTATAAAAAAAGGTTTTTTTAAAAAAAGGCAAAAACAGTGTAGCATTTGTTCATTGTTCATTAGTATCTTCAGGGCCACTATGCAACATCAGTTGAAGAACAAAATGAAAATTTCCTTCCTTTTCCTGTTTTTCAACTTCCTTGCCCCCACTCCCCACCACTTGGTCCTAAGTGCATATTCATAGTCTTCATGGTAGTGTGGTAAAAGGATGACCTTAACTCAGTTATGTAGCATTTGCAGACACTTTAGAATCATTTCCACTGGGAGCGATGCAATGTTTGATAAGAAAAATACCGGCTGAGTGTCTATATGCAAAGCTCAAGAGCCTACAAAGATGCTGGAAATACTAGTAAAATCTCTTCTCCAAGGAGTGTATAGTTTAGTGAGAGAGGTGGCACATCTGCCAGTTGCTTTAAGGGGTAGAATGACTCAGATGGTGTCTGGGGGAAGGACCATGAAGTTGAGTTTCATTCTTAAATTCATATTTATGGTGATTTGGTCCTTATCACTTTCCCAGATGACTTTTGTTGCCCAAATTAGCCAGTTTGACCAGCCAGTGCCTACAAACTAAAAAATAATATGCATAAATTTGATAGACAGGAATCTTAGAGTGACAGTATTCTCAATGTGTGATATTAGTAAAATAAACTCTCCCGGTACATGTAGAGTTTGGTTGTGCTGTCACACTTGGCAAGTGAAAGATGTTCAAAGCCCCACAAAGATTTGCTATTTGCTATTCCGGGAATGACACAGCACTCCTTGGGGTGAATCTATGATTCTAGGACAAAATGGCCTCTGCTTGGAAATTGCCACCAATTAGCTGGGTAGTTCATGTTTAAATTAGGAATATTACCCAAGCAGCCTCCAATTTAGATGGTTGCTGGCAGTAAGGAGGAAATCTGGCCAGTTGTGGAAAATTATGTCTCTGATCCTATAGCTTTCAAGACTGAAAAATGAGGAGACAGTCTTGTCTGATCAGGAGGGTGGATCTATATGCTCTGTTACAGCGAGACCACACATGTCAGCTAAGCACATAAGAGCCCAGATAAGGCAATTTCAACTCCTGAGTAAGCACAGTGATTCCCAAAGTGAGTGCTACCGCCCCCTGGTGGGCGCTGCAGCGATCAGGGGGGCAGTGATGGCCACAGGTGCATTTGTTTTAACTTTTTTTGTATTACCTTTCTATTCTGAGTTCAATAAATAGTTTCATAATTTCAAACTTCAATGTTTCTAATTTACACCTTTCTTTACTATATAAGACCTCTACTGTTGCTCAAACAGTGAAAGGGGTCTTTCAGAAAGAAAATGAAGAGCTTGACTGTCCTTATGACTAGCATGCTGTCCTTATGACTAGCATGCTGTCAGAAGTATATTATGAAGGCCATTGGGCCAAGGGGATGAATAGATGAAGCTATAGGTGAGAACTTTATTTTTTTTATAATAAATCTATTTCTTATTTACAAATTCATGTGGCAACACTATTCTCTTTATTTTATGAGTGAGAAAACTGAGCCACAGAGAGGTTAAATAATTTTCCCTGGATTTTACTTCTTGTTCATCCTGGAGTCATATCAGCGCTGGGTCCCCTGTGAAGGGGAAGGTAGAAGGTATGTCTTTGGAGTTTCCCTTTCCTGGTTCTTGGTGTTCTTGCTGTACTTGGAAGGCTGGTCCTACCTTTGGCTGACCCTTCTACTCTTACTGAGTGAGCATTGAGGAAGGTCGCTTAAGTGAGTGCCTGGTCAATTTCCAAGAGAATTTTTGAATCCTGAGAGTGGCAGAAAGTGATAAGCTCTGGAAAGCAAAGAGATGTTCAAGAACTTACCAAGCTATGCCCTACATTAAAAAGTTCAAAAACATGGTAATTAGAAGTAGTTATGAAGAACATTCAAGCAGTATAATCAAATCCTAACCTAAATGGTAATGGAGGTTGGGATTTGAATTTATGAAAATATTAGAAACTTTATAAAGTAAAACCTCTTAAGTGGCCCTCTTATGTGTTATACTAAATAATATGGAGAGCAGAAGAAAGTTCCTTGCCTTCCTTGCCTGTCTTTCAAAGTAAACTCCCCTCTCCACCCACGCCTGATACAGACACAAGGGACCAGTGGTGGTAAATCCTTTTTTCTCCCTAAAATATTTTAAATGAATAGCAGCTCTCTTAAAATTGCTTTTCTCTCTTACCATTTCACTTTGATTTCCATCTTTCAGTTCCTTTCTCATCTTCACTTCTCACCCTTTCTGTTCTTGTCTCACTGACTAGCCATCTTTGTAGTTATACATGTGGAGCTGTCTCATCCCACTTTTTCAGTATTTTAAGAGCATTTGACATCCTCCCGAAAAATATTGACACATTATTTCCCAGCTCTCACTCCAGTTGAGGCCTGTACTCTAATTTGATTAATATACTTTCCCCATTTCCCATCCTCTTTTTCTGCCTGTCCCTTATGGATAACATATATATTTTCTCACCAATTGCTTCAAAGATATCTTTTCTTGGAGTTCTACCATTTCACAGTTTGTCAAGGTGTGGTTTCCATCTATTTATCTGGCTTGGGATTCATTGTGATTCCTAAGCCTGCAGATTCATGTCTTTCATCAAATCTGAAGACCCCTTTTCCTACAGTGCCTCTTTCTAATTTTTTTTCTCTTCTTCTGACACATTTCTAGACACATGTTGAAAATTCTCTTACCTCTGTGTCTTTTAACCCTTCTTTTCTGTTTCCATCTCCTTAGCTCTTTGTACTACATTTGAGTAATTTTCTCAGATCTAATTTTCAGATCTCTTTCTAGTTTGCTCTTTCTTTATTCAGCTGGGTCTAATCTGTGTTATCTCTCTGTTGGATTTTTAATGTCATCTTTTCTTTTTTTCAATAATAATTGAAAGCATAAACTTATTAATTTGAAGAAGCTTTATGTGGTTCTTGTAAAATCTGACTTTTAAAATACTTATTATTCTTTCCTCATGTTTTCAATTTCCACTTTACATCTTTAGTCTTTGTAAACATTTTAATTTTGGTTCTCATAGTTCTAGTACCTGAAATTCTTGGTAGTAGTGATGTGGGGAGTGAGGAGTTCTTGATCCCTGTGTCTACTGATCCTTGTTCATGGTGGAGGGTTTGTGTGTTTTGTAATTTTGATTGTGAGTTTTTCTTCAGGGGCTTTCTCAGTGGTAATCCAGTACAGGCTGAGGTTGAGTGTGTGTCCCTTCAGAGAGGTTTTGCATGTGCTTTTGTCAGGAGCCCTATGGCTATCACCAGCCTGGGCCACTTTCTCTTCTAACTTCTCAAGTAGAGGTGCTTATCTAACTGGATGGCTGGTGGTGTTCCTTTATTGAGATAGGAAACACGAGGAGGACAAGGTTTGGTGGAAAGGCCATGAGTTTGAAACATCTAAGAGGAAAATGTCAAGAGGAAGTTGGATATATGTATCTGGAGCTTAAAAAAGAGATCTTGGATATAAATACTTTCTTATAGGTGATCATAGGATGAGGTTTCTGTTGAGCGATGATAGAGATACCTTGAATACAGGGACATGGAGGTTATTAGTGAATTTAATGGCAACTGTTATGGTGGTGAGATGGGATGAGAAGCTTGGAGTAGGAGATGAGGAAATTGAATCAGTGATTTAGACAACTTTCAATAAGTGTTCCAGTAAAGTTATGTAAAGCTTGAATTAATTTTTAAAGGAAATGTATAACTAATTAATTATGGTTAATTATGATTGGAAGGCAGAATCTTTTTAAAAAGTAAAAAAATATTAAACTAGTTTCTTGATAGTGAAAAGATCGCTAAGATGGAGACATAGGCCAGCACAGAGAGGATTCAAAGGACACTGAACCAATATTGAGTTGTAATAATAGGTAATATTTATTGAGTTTTACTATTGTTTCAGGTACCATTCCAAATGCTTAACATATATTAAATAACTTAATCTCCACAATAACTGTATGAGGTAGGTACACTTATTATCTCATGCAGGACATGAAGAAACTGGTCACCAGAGAGATTATGTAATTTGCATGGTAGGAGAACAGAGTTTTAATCCAGACTGTGGAGTTCATGTTCTTAACCACTACACAATACTGCTTCTCAAAATAGCCATGCACAAAGAAGTATTTGCATGTGGAAGCCAAGATACAGGCTCATCCATCTACAAGTATTGAAAATGCTATTATATAATCAGCATAATATAAACTAATGCTGACCCAAATACTTGTTTAAACTTCCCGGCTTTATATTATAGAACAAGACAGGCAGAAATGGAAGTGTCATTTGACTAACTTTAGCTTTAATCAGTGACCTTTAATAAACATGCACATTGTTCATTTAATTGCACCTATAATTCTGGTGGACTCATTTCTGAGGGAATACAGGTAAGTAAGCAGAGTTCACAGCAGTCAGAAGCCACTTGCATCTCATTGCCAAAATGTATCATTTCACTGTCAAAATGTGAATTTCATTAACAAATGTCCTAAAATAAATGACTTTTTCCAGGTCCCTGGGGACTGGCTTTAACTAGAACATGTGTGTGTTTCTTTCCTTCCTAAGGATTTAACAACACGGACAGAATATGTGACAAAGAGTTTATTATCCGTAGAACAGCCACCAATCGAGTACTGAATGTCCTCCGTCACTGGGTCTCAAAGCACGCACAGGTAATTCAGTGGCCTCATTCATTATTTTTCAAGATTTTTAAAAATCATCTTTTTAAGTCTTATACATGTACAATGCCTCCTGATTCTTTGGGGTGAGAATTTCAAACCTTGAAATTGGAATGTAGGAAGGGAAGAAATAAGAGGACACACATGCTGATCAAAACAAACACATGTGTATTGCCAGCGTCTACTGTTTCAGACCTACAATGACGTGACCTGTGGGCCCTAGAGCCACAGCAGGGCCACTGTACTAAGCCGCACAGAAGCACTGTTCACAGGGGCCTCTCTGTAAGTGAAGTTGTGCCAGGTGCACTGGTGTTCACTAGAGGTAAATAGCAGGTGTCCCTGGAGGTAAACAGAAGGTACCCCCTGGAGGTAAATGGCAGGTGTCCCTGGAGGTAAATAACACCCTAGTACCAGACACGCTGGTATCTGGGAAGGGAGTGTTTTCTCAGCCTGATTCATCATTTGGGCTCCACGAAGAGCAGTTAGAGCAAGGCAAGGAAGGCTCTTGGTAATGGATTGGTTCGACAGTTCAAATATAGAGAGCTGGTTTCAGCTCATGTTCCTGGAGGCCACACTGTGTGCCCTCCTCTCACGGACTGTGGGTATAGCCTGAACCAGTGAGCTCAGAGGAGGTGTGAATGCGACCCCTGACTTGATGGACCCAAAGCAAGCTGACCATTCTGATGCTCAAAGAAAGAATAACAACTCAGCTTTATCCAAGTTCATCTAAAGGTAACGATTGTGTTTTTCCTCACATGGTAGACTAACCAGGGACACCACTTCATTTTATAGAAAACAGAAAAGCTACAATGAAGCAACAGGGTGTAAATTCACCCCCAAATAATTAGATAACCAAGTTTACCACAAAGTATTAGGTATCATGTATTCATTTCTCATTTCTTATCAAAGGTGACTAATATTGGCAGATTCTACCCTGAACTTGAGTCAAGAGAAATAAAAAGTTGCAAAGGTGTAGGTGTTAGTTCTCCTTAGATGTCATGCTCAATTCCCTCCACCCCAATGTAGTGCCAGAATGCCATTTCTTTTTCTAGAACCTTCTTGCTTTTTCTTTTTTTATTGACATTTAAAAAAAAACTTTATTGTTGAAAGTATTACATACGCCCCCGCCCACCCATTGCCTTTTCTTTAGTAACTATTTGGTAAAAAAGAATGTTTCATTTTTTTTCCTGATTCTAAAAATTTGCACCTGTTAATATATTCTGCCCCATTTTCTCCTCATTTTGTGCACTTTTTCACTCATTATTACCTTTTGTGTTGAAAGCAAAACCATGAGGCCAACCTGGGTTCCTCCCATATGCCTGTCTATGGATTAGCAAGAGCAGCAGCCCAGGGTCAGGGCACCTGTGTCTTTCTTCCAACCCTGCCACTCTGTCTTCTCTGGTGCCATGAGCTAGTCACTTGGCCTCTCTGGGTGTTAATTTTCTCTTCTGAAAATGGGAACAACCACCACCCTCCTACCTCCTCCAAGAATGTGGTGAGAGTTAAAGGCTATGTTGAATTGAAAAGCATGAAAGGCATAAAGTACAATATAGATATGTGTGACTAAATCCCTCCAGCTTCCACATTTCATCTCCCTACAACTAGCCCATAAGCTCCTTGCAGACCGGGCTTGTCCCTTTCATCTCTGTGTCTCCCTTCACGGGGTTCTGCAATGTTGGGCACATGGTCATAGTGGTCAAGTTGAGTTTTCATATTAATGTTGCTGTTGTTCATCCTCTTGGGGAGGTCATTCTCTAGCCTTTAAAGTTCCCACCTCAGCCGAGACCGAAATCAGGGCTGCGTGTGTGGAGAATCCAACTTAAGGACATGTTTGTATAGTCCACACACTTCATGAGAGTCTCTGGCTAGGAGCCTTTATATGTCATTTGCATGATTCCAGATGCCAAGGTGTCTGCAGGCTCCGGAGCGGCTGAGCTTGTAACCAGATGCTTCTGTGGCTGCTTTGTCTTCTGCGCACAGACAGGTGGGGGAGGGATTTGAGGCTGGCTATAGACAGTTCAGATCTGTGCTCGAGTCTCTGTCCAAGGCCTTGTATGTATGATCTCTAGCAATTTTGGTTTTCCTGACTTGTTTTATTGGCCAAAAAATTCTGAAAAGATACTCTGTCTACTTAGTTGAGGAATTTTACAGGCCACCAAATGGCACTGATAGAGGGGCCTGCAGCTGTGTCCACAGGTCACGACTCACTTCACCAGACTCGGTACCATCTGAATGACAATGAAACAATTGCTCATTTTCTTAATTGTGGGCTTAAGGGGAATATTTTTATGAGATCAGACAAAAATGATCTACTTACATAAAAATTTCCTTCCCAAAGGAGTGTATGGAGGGAAGGTTGCTGCTCCCTTTTCTGTGTGCCCACCTCCTTCATTCAGTCACTAACAAGGATTGAGCTCCAGAGTGTGCCAAACACTTGGGTGGATGTAAACATGAGCAGGGTGCCAGCGACCTCTGACCTCATGGACTTCCCAGCCATTGGAAAAGATGCCCACTAGCGGACGTTGCATTTAGTGTAATTACTGGGTGACAGGCTAGTAAATCTGCTTCTGATCATCTCAGACTTGAAGGCAGAGGACAAAAAGCCTGCACATCTTTAAGAGAGTTGCTAGGCCGCTAACCAGGATAAACGAAGGGCCCGAGAAACTGACCCTGGGAGCAGTTGTGATCGCCCACCTGTGGGTGAGGCAGGAGAGCTCAATGAGTAGGTGTTTCCAGAGAGAGCTGTCAGTGTAGTCCTCTACCTCCGGGGGAAGAGGAGGAGATCTTCCTTCTCACTTCAACCAGGTGAGAGAAGCTCCCAGGAAATGGACCCTCCTCTCTGTGAAGGTGAAAGGTGTTTGCTGGGGTGAAGTGAAAAAAGGTGGGTTGTTGGGAGTGAGTGGCATTCATTCATGCTTCTGTGAAACAGGTGGGCCAATGGGCAATCGGTCTGGGTTGCCCTGGATGCTGCCCAGGATGACTGCCTGGAGGGATGAGGTAGACCACTGGCAGCCCAGGGCCTGGGGGAGTTGAAAGTGACTCACAGGAAACCGGACATTTCCTGAGTTAGCGTAGCTGGCCGTAAGTCTCCGATAGAGAGAGCTCTAAAAATCCCACCAAGTGCCCCATAAGAGGAAGAGCTAGTCACAGTCCATCTGCCACATTCAGAGGAGCCAGGGCCGGCTCCACCTGCTCCAGCACGTCATGCCGGGCTACGTCCTTACCCCTGGATCCCAGCCTGGATCAGAAGCCATAGCAAGCAAGTGGAGAGGAGATGATGGAGAGAGAAGAAGGGGTATCCATGTGGGCTTCCAGGCTTGAAGCAGCCCAGGCGAGGACAAGAGGGGAACATCTAAGTCTGGACTGAACTGGACTTTTGATTACTATATTAGGCTGGACATTTTGACGGAAGAAACAAGATGGTTCTTATAACTGAAAGGCTTTGGTGCCTGCCTAACACTACATGCAGGGTGGGGAAGGACGGACCACGGAGCAGTTTAATGCGACTGGTGAGAAGTAGTCCTTCTGCTTGGTGATTCCATCATTGTTTATGATGCAGGAAGTGTAGGTAGCAATTTCACAGAGTTACTTTCCTTCAGGAGTCTGTTTTGTGTCATTTAAACAAATGATTTTTTCTTTGCTAAAGGTGGGTGTGGGGAGTGCTCCCTCCCTCTAACAGCCACTGAGGACCTGGGCTGTGAGCAGGCTCCTGCCCAGCCTCCAGGGGTCCCTGGCCAGGCAGCCGGTGGAGCCGAGCTCATGCTGTCCCAGGGAAGGGTCAGGAAACCCTGCTGTCCTGGAGACCCCGGATACCCCACCCGGCAGGTGGGTTAGGATGGCTGCCCCACCGCTCCCGGGCCTCAGAGTGCAGTGCGGTGCCTGGGGCCCCGCTACTTCCCGTTGACCTCTGCATATCGAAGCTAAGAAATCGCAAATGTCCACCAGTACAAACCAGTGTTTGTTCACAAAGTCGATGTCCCATGAAAGCAGCCAAAGTGAAATAGGGAATGCTCTGTTTCATTTAATTAGGCCAGCAACTGAGGTTCCTTCTGGCTCCTCCTGATTTCAGGGGCCTAGTCTGGTGCTCACTTTCACACTCTCACAGCAGATCCTGCCCAGGTGATTTTATCACCATTTGTCCTCTCCTTCTCCCCTCTGGACAGACTGCCTTGGGCATCACATTTCCTTCACTGGTGAGGACTCAGGTGAGGACAGAAATCTGGAACCATCAGTTCTATCTGGATTCTAGTGTTAGCTGACTATCGTCCTCCTCTGTAAAACTGCCAAAATGATCTGTATGGGGTTCTCAGGCACAAGTGCATTATGTGTCAGATTGCTCTAAAAAACATAAAATGTAAGAATCTATCGGATAGATATGGATCTTCTTTTTATTTTTTTTAATCCTGAAGATAGATTTTCATTCCCTTACTCTTTTTTTCTGTGCAGGCCAATAACCAAGTAAGAAGCTCCTAGTTCAGTGATGGCGAACCTTTGGAGCTCGGCGTGTCAGCATTTTGAAAAACCCTAACTTAACTCTGGTGCCGTGTCACATATAGAAATTTTTTGATATTTGCAACCATAGTAAAACAAAGATTTATATTTTTGATATTTATTTTATATATTTAAATGCCATTTAACAAAGAAAAATCAACCAAAAAAATGAGTTCATAGGTTCCCCATCACTGTCCTAGTTCCTTGAGCTCCATACCTCAGTCTTCCCTTCTCTTTTATACATCTCTATTATTATCCTTTAAACAGCCCCTGAGCTTCCTGTGCTTGTCTATCACAGTGCTCGGTGAGACATTGCAGCAGGATCAAAGTCAGTGTGAAACAGGATTAAATGGAACTTATTTTCCGTTCCCATTAGTTGCCATGACAGAAATTTCGCTTCCTCTGTAGAGCCAGTGGGATTCTTTAGCCTTTGTGGATGGATTCGCTGGGAGAAAACACTGGGAGGCCCCACATGGGATTTCATGTACACCAGTCGCTTCTCC